CTTTCCCTATAGAATGGGAGTGGGGGGCAGAGGGGAATGGACTTTAAATGGCTTTAAATGTCCCAGATGAAAGTAAATCAGCTACAACTGAGAAAATCCAAACTACTTAACTGTCCTATATAGAACTAATTTTGCCCAGTGCGGCTGCAACCTTCACAAACACCAGGTCAGCAGCAGCCTTACTATTGCCAAATGAAGGCGGAAGATAGTCATCTCTTACTAGGACACCACAATGTCAGAGAGAAAAGAGCCCTTCTATAAGACATGATCTCTGGATCAGGAGGAATGTTACTGGAAATCAGGAATGTCACTGCAAATATAATCCCTATATTTAGGGATTAAATAATGCTCTAGCATCCGACCTATGAACAAGCCTTTCATTAAAGAGGCTGACAAATACTGCATTAGGCAATTTGACCAATGGATAGGGAATGAGGTTGGCAGCTTTATCAGTCAGCTGAGAGGCACAGGTGAATGTCCACACCAGCTCTTTCCAATGAGAAGTCCTCACACACCTGTTTATCCATGTACCCATTATGGCACAGCCAGGTAAAGAGTTTTTAAAAAGGCTCTTAAGTTTTCCATCGTGCTGATACAAACGGTCTCCTAACCATCTTGTCTCTGGATGTTTGTAGGATGCCCATCAATGTGGTATCTGACTGCTTTCTGTCTTTAATACTTTCATGTTCAAAACCTCACTGACTTTAAGCAATCTCATGCACTCCTCCCAGAAAAGGGAGCACAGTACAGGCAAACTGTGGAAAAAGTCACATAAATTAACTTTAGCTATTGGACATCAGGCAATCAGGTAGTCATCAAGGTCCCATCTGCTGAAGAGAGAGGAGGTCAAAAGAGCAAAGGAGCCAAGTGATTTGCCCCAGAATACGTTGATCCATTAGTGTTCCTAATTAGTGACTTGTTATCAACAGACATTACTGGAGATACCTCTGTACCTTCAAATAAACACCGTGTGGCAGGGACTATAAGGTTTGTATTTCTAATCTCAACAGCTAAAAATATATATCTTACTTTCATAGTCTTAAATCAGGAATAAGCTCATCACAAAGCAATATATAAAAACTACTTTGAAATCACAATCAGGCTGATGAACTATAAGAAGTTGTTAAAAAGTACTCAGAGCATATATCGTGAAAATGAGTTTTATATCCTTGTCTGCCCTATACAAGTACTTTTAGAGTGCACAAAAACTACCTATATCACAGACTAACGGTTTTCAACCAATGAAACTACTGTTACCTTCTGTGAACTACTTTCAAGGTATCTGCAAAAGGTAATGAGGGAAAGTAAACCTGCTGTCACAGTAGGTTTACATGAACTGTACAAGCAATCTACATTGCCACCAAAAATTTTGAAGCAGTCCACAGTGGTAAAAGGTATAAGACCACTGCTGGTAATGTCGTTGTAAACTGTTATGGGCTAGAGATTGCCATCTACCTTTGCAGCAGATAAATTAAATTGGATTTTGAACGAATAATCTGGCCAAAGGGAAAAACAGCTCAGAATTTCATCTTAATTTGATTTGTTCAGTTCCTGTCATTTTAATAGAAATAAATAGCTGATCTGGTTACAACCACCATGTATATGTACCTTATACACAGTACATAATAGCACTCACCAATTGCAATGCCAGTAGCCTGGAACCCTTTTTTGGTATTGCATGATCTGTTTTATCATAAATCACTGTTACCACATGATTTGTTACCATACAATCTTTTTTCATCAGAGTCTTGGCCTCCTTTATTAATCAAACAGCAACATTAAACCGTAAGCAACAGAAGGACCAATAATTACTATTTGTGTAAAGGAGCCGATCAAGGAGGACAGAAAACGTACTGGAAGTAATAGAACCGATCAGTGCTTAGACTTTCCTCAAATTAACCAGAGAACCACAGTAACCAAAAACCAAGTTCAGCGGAAGGCTTTGTAATCAGAGAATCAATTCAACGTTCAGACAGATGAAAACAGTCACGCTTGTCCACAAGTGTCTTACCTCATACTACTGTAGCCACTCTAGGAATTGCCACTGATTTCAGAAAGTACATGTTCACGTTCCTGCTTTCTGAAGTCTAGTTCCAGGCTGTCCTCTTGGGAGAGCAGGGTACCTTCAAAACATGGATTTCATTTCAGAGAAAATTCCTCTGCTTTGCAGAGATATGCATATGAACTGATGGATGGAAGTGCTAACGTAAAGCTGATTACAATTGAAACTAGCAATAATTTATTACAATTAAAATGAACAATAATTTACCAATGGAATAAACTACCAAGTGAGGGAATTATGTGATCTCTGTCATGTCAGGATACGAAACCAAGCACGTTTTAAAAAAAGACCAGCTACTGGTGCGTTATTTGTCTGCATTGCATGGGATTTCACGCTACCTCGCATACTGAGGTCTTCTCCACCTAGAACCTGGGACTCCAGGAGTATGTATGTGACAGAATGACTGCTGTGCTCATTTTACAATATATATGAGATGTGAAACATTCTGGGCTTTTTCCAAACCAGCAAACAGTTTTTTTTTTCCTGTAGCAATCTCAAGTCTTGACTTCCCCTATTTTTGTCAGAGGAGTTCTTGGTGACTCACATGTGGATTGGGAGCTTTCTCAGCCCACAGCTGAAGGCAAGGGTGTTAAATATTTAATAAAGAGGCAGCTTTTCTCCCAAATGTTTTGGATAAATAGCTGTTAACAGAAACCAAAATACAAAAGGGTTTTAGCTACTGGAATAAAAATATCTTTTTCCCTTTCAAACAACCCAGCTCCTCTGCCTGGGTTCTCTCTCTGGCGCTCATCAGCTGCGTCCCCCAGCTATTGCTGCCAGCCCAACCAATCTGTGGCTGCGTTCTGCAGGGAACCAAGTCTGAGCAAGGTCCTGCAGCCATACCAATTTCATAATTAGATTTGATTTCAGCCAGTTTAACTAGCAGAGTAGTATAAAAGCTGGCCTGGTCTTAGGAGCCTGGTGTACTCAGCTGAGCCCAGTTGGTAGTAACAGTTGTTAAGCAGCAGAGATGATAGTGGCGGTAGGAAGCTTTTTATGTTTTTGTAAAATATCCTTTAACTGTTGCCAGGTAGCAGGGTAGGGAAGACGTATGTGTACCTTTATTTGATTCCCATGTTCACCTGGTTGTTTTTTTTTAACAACAGAAGAGCAGTGAACATTCAAGAATGCCTCCTTTTTTATTGTCCAATAAAATATTTTTATTAAGCAAGCAACTGGACATTCCTAGGCCCGTGGTTTTCAATACCTTATTATCTGTGTAATCTCTGACCTGAAACAGTGTAACTATTGTTACTACGTTCTTTGTTTTCCCATGTAATTTTTATGCAGTTAAAATACTTCACTAAGTTGGAATATAAAAAAAAGTGAAACAAAGGATCAAATCCTTAAATAGTGAATTATGAACTCTGATATCTGCCTACAGATACAGCAGGATGAAACCCCTATCTGCTCAGAATACTAACCATGAAGCAGGACATTTATTTAAGTGTTCTTTTATCTCTGTTGGATTACAGAGATAACAGGTTTGCACCCTGCTATCTATGGGACTGACTTCCACCCCATCAGTGTATTTGCTAGGAATGTGAAAACTAATGAAATTCACCTTGCCCAGCTATGGGCAAACATTTTCTCAGTCGGGAGCTTTTGGCTTTGCGATGGGCTGTCATCAGGGATTATCTGTCTATCAAGGTTAGCTTTGGCGTTTATCATCTGATGGGTGGCAAGTAAGATTTATCTGTTTTGGTGAACCTTCTTCTAAGCTCCTGGGATTGCTGGGACACTGCATCACCATGTCCTGTTTGTTCCAAAGCTTTTAGGAGAGGTAAATTCTACTTCCTCTCAGTTAAGTGAAATGGGCTTCCATAAGAAATTATTTAAGTAATAGTCTTAAGAATAATAAAATCTTAAGAATAATAAAGAAAGTTAATTAAAACACCATGGCAGCAATTAGACATAGGTGTTATGAGGTTGAGGCAAGCAACGCAGTAACATGCTGAGACCAGACACACAGTGTGAACTCTGCTGCCCATGGGAGGAAGGTGAATGGGAGAGGAAGACCACGTCGCAGTATTTGGTACCATACAGGACAGGATCTACAGCTGGAACACAGATTCTAAGATTCCAACTTTGAACAAACTTGAACAAAAAAAAAAAAAAAAAAAAAGGAAAGCTGAAATTTGAAGAAACCAACTTGAAAGCTTGTTACTGATTCAAAGTGAACAAAGGAGTAACGACTAACTCAGAAACATCAAGCAGAGGTCAATGTCTGTCTGTCTTTATATCTCACATGCATACACAGTCCTTTCTACCCACTTCAATGGCCACTTCAAAAGAAGCAAGCTCTTTGAGATATTTCACTAGACTAAAATCACAAATTCTGATTTTGCTTATGCCTCTTTTTTCTGCCTGCAGTCTACCTGTTCCATTTTATTAATGGATGTAACTGCAAGCAGAATGCGACTAACCTTTCCTGTCCCTGGTGAATGACAGGAACAAAGCGCTGGGACTGAACAAGGTCAGCAGAGGTGGTCAGCGGCACCTAAAAACAGAGCTGGGCTGTTGCCTATCAATAAACAGCAGGCAGTAGTTAAGCATTTGCAGATATGATCACGGGAACAGTTAAGATACCCTATACATGAGAAAATTACTCATTTTTGAGGACCTGTAAGTATGAATGGTTCACCTGCCTATAACCCATCAGAAGACCTAAATAGCAACAATTCTTTTTTCCAAAATATCATTAGTTTTTGCCTTCTTGACTCATTGAGAAGGAAACTCTGCTTGTACTATCTTCAAATATTAATAGTGAACTGCCAAGACATATTTCTTATTGTGATGCACTTGTATTTCTCTGAGTAATTCCCACTGGCATTAATAAGAGTCACTTATACAAATCTCCTTGCATCAGGTTAAGAACCTCATTCCATAATCATGATCCTAGCTTTAAAAAGGGTGATATGCAATTTCTCTTATTTCCATTACAGTACACTTGATATTTTGAAGTTATCTGTCCACCACCCACTGCTATGCTATTAACACCAAGTTAGAATATCACTAACTCTATCTCACATGAAGCCAAAATGTCCTCATTTTCCTCAGGAAAGTACTATCCTTGACTGGACACAGTGAGTTGGCTGAGCCATTGGTGGTTCTATTTTGGGATCACAAATTCCTGTTAGAAGGAAGAGCATAAAATGCTTATTTTCATTTGCTATAATGTCCCAGTATACCTATTTCCATTACTATCATCTCATGCCCCTTTTACACTGCCAGAAAAGCTTGGAGAGATTTTAGGGAAAAGGAAAAACAGGCCTTGCATCTCACTGTGATTTTAACCTCACAGAGTTCATTTTATAGTGATTCAAACAGTGGCGATAGAGTCCAGCACATGCAGGTTAATTCCCGGATTTCGGGGGCCTTCAGGGAGCTCCTGACTCCTTCACCTCCCAGAGGGCTCCCAGGATTCCTCCTTGGGAAGCCTCCATCACCCCAGGGTTTCCCTGGGGCTGCTCGGATGCTGTACCTCTGGTCTATGGAACAACAGTGTCTTTCTAATTCTGCAACAACTTTATTCACATACAGCAACAATGCCAGCTCATCTGAGTCCAACTAAACCCCCAAAGAACGATTCCTATCAAACTGAACCATATTTACTTTCAGTTCATTATCACACTTGCTACTTGTAGTTTTGGAACCTTTACATTCTGAGTGCAGCAGCAGGCTACAGGCTATACACCTCTCAATACTGTATTAAGAGAGATGCCTAGGAGTTTTCTCCTTTTTTTCTCTCTCTCTGTCCCTAGAGGGGAACTAAGGCCGTGGAGAAGTTTTTAAGCTTAAGTTGGCCACGATCTACTCGTCATATCAACAATATGAAACTCTAGGTAACATATGAACGAGAGGAAACTCCATCTTTAACTTGGTGGACCAGTTCCAGATTAAAGATTTCCTTTGGGCAAGGACAAGGCAAGGTTCTTTAGTATTTTTGTTTAATATCCTTTTAACGTGAGCCTGGGCTGGTGCACAAATGAGCGCAACTGCTCAAATGAGCCACACTTCTTTTTTAGGGTCTTGTTCTGGCAAAACTCCCACTGAATTCAGCAGGGGTCTGGCAGGATGGGAACTTAGCAAACAGTGCAGGACCCCGACCTGCAAAAAAGGTAATGCGATCAGAGGGCAGCATTTAATAAAATACATCCAGAGTTCTACAATGTGCTAATATTTGTAATCTTCATGAATGGCAAAACAATGTAATTAAAATGCTCAGCTCTGAGACAACACAAAGCTGGTACTGAGATGCCAGATTGTGCCGTCATCAATTCTTAAAGCTCATGGTACCTTAAGTGCATTTAAAGGATCATAACTATTACAGCCCAATTACCATTGGGACTCTAGAGCAGGTGCACGCATCTAAACAGAAGCCTCAGAGAAAGCAATTCAAATTGAAATTGCTACAGGATTTTCAAAGTGTGAAAGGGACTTGTTGAGAGTAATTAAAGGCTCTGGAATGCAAAATAAAAAGGACATATTCCATCCACACAAACTGGAAAGAAAGCACAATCTCCAGGTATGCAAACTGATGGTATGAGGTCAGATCCCTGGCAGCCTGAACAGATATGCACAGGGTGCCAGAGCAGATGAACTGGTGGGATAAGCCGGGGAATCTGTCTGCATGAACCCTGGTTGATATTGTAAAGTTATTACGAAGTCATTACTGTGAAAATTGCTGGCTAATGAACACGCCTGTCTCTACATAAATGCGGAATCCACCACAGGCTGGCCCTGCTGAGTCAAGCCCTCGTGAGGCAGAGGACTGCAGTGGCTTGTAGGAACATCACAATCACATATTTAGCGTGAAGCACTTTGGTATAACCAGCTGAGAGCGCTTGGAGGTTTTGAAAATGGGATTACTAGTAGTAGAACGAAATGCACGGTGATGCTAAGTCAGAGATACAACCGGAGCTCATCAGATGGGGTTGTCTTAAACACGTTATTTAGGATACCATGAAGTTGAGGTAGCACAGACTAACTATAACAGCCTCCACCCACCTTCTCAGGCATTGTGCTGCACACTGTGAGCCAGGGCTACCTTGCTATCAG